ACGACGACGACGACGACGACGACGACGACGACGACGACGACGACGACGACGACGACGACGACGACGACGACGACGACGACGACGACGACGACGACGATCTTCTACTACTGCGTCAACTGGGGTCAACTGGGTCAACGGCCTGGGTCAACCGAGTCAACTAACCCTCAGTTCAACTGGGTCAGCTGGGTCCACCACCACTATTTATGGGTCAACTTGGGTCCACTGGCTTCAAGGTCTGGCAACGACTACTACTGAGCATGCTCGATCAAAGACGAAACCCTACTAGTGCTCGGTGTAAAATAAGGCTGCTTGAACAGTAAAAATTAAGCTCAACACCAGGGTTCCCGTGTTGACCTTGGACAAACCCTTTTTTTAATCAAGTTAATCGGTTTTGTATTTCCATTGGGCACCCCACGTGAAACAGGCGTAGCCACTGCATGGACAGACGGCCGTCAAAAAAAAAACCAACGAATGGCATGCGTGGAGCTAAATTTGGAGTTGTAACGATGATCTGGACTTTTCAGACACGGGAAGGTTCAATCACCAATTGTCCCCTTTCGTGCGAACTGCTTCGGATTTGGAAGTGTTTTTTCTTCTGTGAGGATCTTTCCAGGTCAGAGTCAGAGTTCGGCTTCTGTCAGGATCCCGTGGTCAACTTGTGGATCTTTTCCAGGTCCAAACCAGGGATGAGGTGATGTGTGTTCGATCGTCACAGGCTATCCACTAAACCACGGACAACTAAGTCAACTCATCCATAGAATTCTGGAACCTGAGTTGGTGCCCTGTATTTTAGATCAACACCAACCATCCTCATCTGTGGCAACATGGAGCTATAAAGACATGATCTAATCCATGGAAACCAACATCAACATCAGTCATTCCGTGTAGAGCTTGATTCGGAACCTTACTTGTTCAAGTTCAACAACGGTCTTCATCACAACCTCGGTTGATCCAGCTTGGTCCACTTCAGAAGCCAACAGTTGGGGACCATTTCTTCCTGCGAGTCAAGAGATAGCTCTAGATCTATCGACGACCTCTGAGCAAGCAACTTGGCCTCCATCAGAGCCTCGGTAGAAAACAAACACATAAACAACAATATTGAGGTATGAAAGCATAATCTAACACATAGAAACTACACTCCACACCAGGAATCCCATGTTGAGGTTGATTGGTGACCTTTCCTGATCCAGTTCAGACAATGCCTCTATCACAACCTAGTAGTAGCAGTGGACCCAGTTGACCCCAGTTGATCCAGATCACCCAGTTGACCCCAATGGACTCACTTGACCCAGTCGACGCGTAGTAGTAGCAGTAGTAGTCGTGGTGGTCGAATTGACCAGGCGGGCACCCTAAATCTGCGGACCCAGTTCACCCCCTTTTTTTTGACACGTAGTAGTAGCAGTGGTGGTGGTCGCATTGGTCGACTTGACCAGGCGGCCACGCTAAATCTCCGGACCCAGTTGACCCAGTTGAAATCAACTGGGTCAACCAGGGTCAACGGGGTCCACTGGGACACCCTGTTCAACTGCGTCAACTGGGACCACAGATTTAGCGGCCCTGTGTGGCGACGCACTCAAAAAACAGGAAGCTCCATGACTAAAGAACACATGGCTTCGTCCCTTCTTGAATTCTGTCGCTTGTTCTCGAGAGCACACGTTGCCGGGAAGCTGGATCGGAATCACCCTTCGTTAGTTGGGTGTTCATGAGAAGCAGCACTTACCAGTCGGGTGGGGAAACTCCAAAATCGAGCCAAGGAAGAGGTGGGTTCAACATGCTTCAATGTGGTTCAACCATTCAGATGCTAGATGATGCTAGTCCAGAAAATGTTTTTCCAGTGGTCCACCTACTAGATGTCTTTAATCTTTTGTGCTTCCGATGGATGCACAAAACATATCTGTATAAAAGAATAACGTTCTCCACCGGGCCACACGACACACGACGCGTTCTCCACCCGTTCGCTGTGTCCTGCGCGACACCCAGGCGCTTGAAGGATGCTTTGATGGAGAGTTTCTCGGCACCCTCACCCATCCAGGCTGTGAGCAAGTCTCGTAGCGTCCGGTCGCTCCGTTCGTAGCGATGCCAGGAGCCCCGTTCGTAGCGTCCTTGCTCCTAGTAGCAAGGCCAGGAGCTACGTTCGTAGCGTCCAGGCTGTGAGCAAGTCCAACTCTGAAGTTGCTTGCATGGCTCGGGCCGTCCCAGAGACAGCAACAAATAGCAACAGCACCCTGACCATCCCTGACCTTCTCAAAGATGACCAGAGAGTTTCCTCAAAGATGACTAGCACCAAACCTTGCAAAAGACTGCAAAAGGATTCTTGAGTTCTCTAGAGCGTTTCTTCTGCCGCGAGGCGCAAGCATGGCCCATTTGCCAGCTGGGTCACGATTTGGTCGCCGTGGCGAAGACGGGCAGTGCCACGGTGGAGAGGAGACGTTTGTTCAGGGCGAGGAGGTTTAGCTAGTGGACGTTGTTCTGCGAAGCTCGGACCCCTCGTGAACTCGGAAGAAAGGTCTCGCTGGGTTTGGTGGCCAACAAGGAGAATCCTTTTGGCTCTACCAGATGCCATGCACTTGGAAAGAAACAGGCAAATGCCATGACGGATTCCACATCCAGAACAACCATTGGATTCATTGGATACTACGAATCAGGTGTAGAAAGACTCTCAGGTTCCGTGTTCTTTGCCATTCATTCGCCACATGGTGGTTTATGCTTTCTGCTCGTATTTTTGCTTGAGGTTTAGTCTCGTGAAGCACAGATGCTCACGGACCATCAATGTCGCTGACCAGTCGAACATCCCAAGGCGGAAAGACGTTGGCTTTCTTGCTCCCTGCCTTCAAGCTGATCAGCAGGCCACTGCCTTAGCTGGAAAGATGGAAGGCGTGTTTCAGCAAACAAGACAGCACTTCCCCCCGGCCTCAAATATTTTAGAAGGGGAGCTACATGCAACCCCACATGACGAAAGTTAATAGCTCGAGGCATCGTGGCATAGCTCCAAGCTGCAAGTAGTGTTTATGTAGTTCGTTTGCATATTTGTTGCTTTTACAATGATCGGAACCTCCGTAGGGGAGGGGCTAGTGCCCGAACCATCTCGAAGTCTGGCCACATTTATGTGACTCTCATAGTGAGTCAGCCTCCTCGGTATTCAGGCAAGCAGGTGAGGTGAAGTTACTCACTTGGCACCTTCGCTGCTGAGGTGGTCCAAGAGCAATGAGGAGATGCCAGGCAGGAGACAGTGTGCAGTTCATTCTGGAAGGGGCCTGCAGCCCTGAGAGTCCCAAAGAAGTCTGTCTCAAAGAAGGATGAGCCCATGGTGATTGAAGTAATTGGGATAATAAAGGTAGATGGAAGATGATTGACCACCGATTAATCTTGAAGGTAACTACGAACACCGCATCCACGACTTCCAGGACATCCATTGGTCTTGGTCTTGGCGCCCACGCGGGAGTTGGCCACACAGATCCAGAACGAGTGCGAGCGCTTCGCATCGGCGAGCCCGGCACGTCCTTCTGAAAAAATAGCCAACGGTGCACGGCACTTGGCATGGCCTACATTTGCCACTGCAATCCTATGATCGAAGGCATTCTATAGAAACATATTTAGTGGTGACAGATCAAGAACACACCCTACTGTTACAGGGACACTGAAATCGCTGCACCAAAACAGCACAACTGCAGTATCCAAGCTAGAGAATGCTAGAGATGTTCGAGTTGAGCCTTACCCTCCAAACCCTAATATGGAAGTGGATGGTATGGACGAACCTTCAATACGGGTGATAAAACATATTAGAACAATTTAAAACCATTTTCCTGCGATGTCTTTCGTCTTGGGCCTTAGGTCTTGAAGTTGTTGGAGTCCTGGAAAGTGTGAACCCAGTTCTAAGTGTGTCAGCTGGGGTGTGTTAGCCATTTGCATCATCTTCATCTATAAGTTGTCACATGATTTCGTCCCGTATGACTCGGCTGGAGTCACCGTTCCGGCTCCGGTCCGCTTGCTTCGCGGTCGCGGCTCCCGTCCAGGCGAAGGTCCGGTCCATGGCGATCTTCGGTGGGACGCCGAAGGGGCCACAGGGGAAGGAACTGAAGAAGAAGATGCCACAGGTGCGAGGGGTTGGACGGAAGAGAAGGAGAAGGAGGAGAAGCAGGAGGAGGGGCACCCAAAGTTTGGTGGCCTGGGCGCTGAGAAGTGTTTGGGGTTGGATGTATTTGGATGTTCAAGATGTTGGATGTCAAAATGATGGTGCCTTGACTTCTGGGGGGAGTGAGATGATAAGAGTGTGAGATGGGGGATATGAACGGGTTTGACGACTGCAGTGGTTTCTTTAAAGATGAAGGGTTGTATGGGCGAGGTGAGTCGCTACTTTGTTTTGAGTCTCGGGTGGAGTCCGGAACGGGCCAGAGAGTGGAACCAGGCGCCTGGTGCGCGGTGTTTTCGTGGTTTTTCGGACCTCCGCTTTTCGCCACTCAGAGATGGCCCCCCCAAAATGCCCTGGTGTCCACTCGTGGTCGAGGCTGGCCCACTCTGCCAGGTCTTGGTGGCGACTCCAGGACGTTTACAGGACTTCTTGAGCAGTGGTGAGGTCAATCTGCGGCTTGGGCGGAGACGGTGCGTCGGAGACGGTGCGTCGGAGACGGCGCTTTTCGGGTCTTCGCCGGATCACCGATGTGGCGATTCGTTCCGTGTCGTCCGGCGAAGACGGTGAGGCGGTGAGTCCCTTCCTGAGGGTCTTTTGGAGGATAGCTCCCCTTGGGGATGGACACCCAAAAGATGGTCGACTGGGTTTATTTGGGTTTAGGGCACCATAGATCAGGTGAAGAGTGTCAGGTCTGGGGCAGCTTTCTCATATTTTCTAATGTTCTTTTTTAGGTCACGGGGGTGGTCAGTGTCAGTGTTTGGCCTGCGGATCCCCTTGGAGAGTACACCTCAACAAAATATGACCCTCAAAAGGGGAATTTGGACCACCATGTCTTCCCGATAATACTTGATTATCTTGATTTTCAGACCGTCAAATGTCAACATGCTCCTTCCACTTCGACTACCAGGCTTGCGCACTTGGAATCACTTGGAGACCTTCTTGGACACCTATTTGCATAATAGCTCATTTCATTGCAGATCAGGTGGGTTTGGTCTGTCCGATCTGTTCCATCACTCATCTCCAGATAGCGAATTTCATTCGAATTTCCATGAACAGTCCGGTGAACCAGGACCATACGGAATCCGTATACCAGAAGCGTAGAAACGGAACCTGTACGAACGGAAACCGCACCGATCCAGCCGGGACCTCGGCGAAGCCGATGAGGTCACAAGCTCAACTGCTGGTCCTGGATGAGGCGAGCGGAAGATGGGAGGGATGGAGCGAACGAAGGTCATCAAGTGCAGATGGGTTTATAGAAGTGTTTGTTGGTGGATGGCTGCCGGAGTTTACTTGCAAAGGATTTGCATACATGGACAATCATGGACATGCACGGTCGGATTTTCAGTTCGTGGCCTCATTCGATCTCTCCGATCCACAGAGCAACACAGACATGGAGGCCAGTGGAGACCACGTGGAAACCACAAAGTGAACCACTAGTAGCGTCCTTGCTCCGTTCGTAGCGATGCCCTTTGCTCCTAGTAGCTTCTTGTTCCTAGTAGTAAGGCCAGGAGTCCCTAGTAGCGTCCTTGCTCCTAGTAGCGTTGATGCTCTAGAGGCGGATCGAATGCTGGACATGGGATTCGAGCCGGAGATTGCCAAGATTCTATCGCAGGCCAGGGAGTGGTTGCTTCGGAACCTGCGATTGAGAGCACTTGTTCGTAGGCTCTACACAGTTTGTGATATTTGTGACTATATAGAGGCTGCGGATCTATTTTTGGATTATTTTTCGTTTTTGTTTTTGATTTCTTTTGGGGGGTGTTTCGTGGCAGGTGCAGTGCTTTGTGGACCTTGAAGTGCAGATTTCGTGGCAGGTGCAGGACTTTGTGGATGTTGAAGTGCAGATTTTGTGGTACCTGCACTACGTCACTACTTTGTGGGCCTTGGAGTGCAGAGTGCGTGGCAGGCGCCGGACTTTGTGGTCCTTGAAGTTTTTGTTTGGGATTTTTTTTGGTTGTTCGTGTTTCGTGGCAGGTGCAGTACTTTGTGGACCTTGAAGTGCAGTTTTTGTGGCAGGTGCAGGACTTTGTGGATGTTGAAGTGCAGTCTTCGTGGCAGGTGCAGTACTTTGTGGATGTTGAAGTGCAGATTTCGTGGCAGGTGCAGGACTTTGTGGTCCTTGAAGTGTAGATTTGGTGGCTGGTGCTAGATAGCTAGATAGATAGAAAGATAGATAGACAGATAAATGAATCGATAGATACATAGATAGATAAGAAAGAAAGAAAGAAAGAAAAAAAAGAAAGAAAGAAAGCTCGCAAAAGCCACAGAAGCCACGAAAGCCAAAAGCCACGAAAGCCACAGAAACCACTAAAGCCACCAAAGCCAAAAGCCACGAAAACCACAGAAGCCACGAAAGCCAAAAACCACGGAAGCCACAAAAGCCACAGAAACCACGAACGCCAAAAACCACGGAAGCCACAAAAACCACAGAAACCACGAACGCCAAAAACCACGGAAACCACGAAAGCCAAAAGCCACAGAAGCCAGAAGCCACGAAAAACAAAGCACATTCCCAAAAAAGACGAAAAAAACTACCAAAAAAATACCCCTCCCTATAGACACCCTCGTCAAGACTAAGAGAGCTCAAAGCTTTACAGGGGATATTGAACAGACTCGTCCGGATGATGTTTTTGAGACCTGCAGGCCGACGTAGGTCCCTTTTTGTGCAGAAAGAATGCTTTTGGCAGAAGAGTTTAGTTTGGGGTTACAACCTTTGCATTGATACTGGTTTGCAGTGCCGGTGCTGTCACATGCTCTGAATATTCAGGTGTTGGCAAGACTAGCCTGTTTGATGTTCGGACCAGCCAGCCAGCTTCTTAAGATCTTCAAAATAGAATCACTACACTAATCATTACGGATCATCGATGGATTGTGTGCCATGGATTGTAGAGGGATTTCTTGGCCATTCGGCGGCGTGGCTGTCGATTTTGTTTGCATCAGATTGAGAAGATTGGGAGTTGGGGGTATCACTTCCTGTCACTTCAACACCAACACCGAAGAAATGGTCAAAACATAGAGAGCAGCAGTGGAATGCATAACATATGACATATACAAACATGGTTTGCATACTCAGATCTTTAGAAACACTACTTCATGACCAACATGACCTCTACAGATTTCTGACATCTCACCCTGACCGCCACTCCGGACGCTGGTAATCGCACCAGCGGACGCGCCGTCGACCGACGCCGTCGGTTCGACCGACCGCAGGCACCTCCAGCGCGGCAGACGCTGCTCTTCACGGCGACGTGGCCTAAGGCGGTGAAACGCATCGCAGAGAAGTACCTGACGCTCAGAGATGTGAACGCTTCGTTTGTTCTTTTCGATGTCACTGGATTGTTGTTGTTGTTGTTGTTTTTTTTTTTTTTTAAAGGTTTTTTGTTTTGATGTGTTCTCTCTGTCTTTGTTTGTTCATGTTCATTGTTGGATGTGTTTGGTTTGGAGTTGATGTGATCAGTCGATGATTGGTGATTGGTGTTCTTTCGGTGTTTTTGCACCACTAAGTTGATGTTGATAGTTGATTGCTCCACCTATTATTATTCGTGCCCACCCGTTTTTTGCTTTGGTTTTGAGTAAGGGCTTAACAGGGTGAGGGTCCAAAGACACATTTTGGCTGGATTGAGAGGACATGAAACAGAATCTCAGAAGGAACCCGTTGTGATTCGTTTTTTTTCGTGAATTTGGAAAGAAAACCACTTTTGAGCAGCTCCTCATCCATGGCAATCGCTGCATGACTCAATTATATACATTGGGTCTGTCCTATTGCCTGTAACAGTCATTAAATAACTATTATCCTATTTTTGAACAAGGCCTTTACTAACCATCATCATCCACTGTTACAGATAGGATAGACCCAATATATTACAGTAGCTATCGACGTCTCATGCTAGCGATTTTAGGGGCGATTTCGCAAAAGCTACTAGAAACACGTGCCACGCTACTAGTAACAAGAAGCTAGTGGTAAGTGCCTTACAATCTTCTCCTTTCACAGTTTCGGGGTGCCGTGCCCTTGTTTTGGAGCCTCGCCACCGGCGTGTTGGCAAGGAAGGAAGACTACATGTCACTTGGTGTGATTCATGCCAACGGATATGCTTGAAGGTAATCTAGCCTTACAATGTATAGTGATCCCCAAATAGATAGAAATGAGTAAAGATACGGTTTCCAATACATTTTTAGTGGGGATCCACTTTATCTATTGGGTCTATGTATAGTAGATGATGGCAGGAAGTGATTGTGCATTCGTCCCAACATGTCATGGGATCCAGGCGGTTGCTGCAACACCTATTCACCGCAGCATAGTTGGCAATCTCCTCTTTTGTTAGCACCACGGCATAGTGATGAAACCGATCATGTGAGTTTATCAAGGATACGTTTGATCATGTTTGATCTAGTTTTGCTATACAATGCAGATATGTACATAGGTCGCATCAACTCTGAAGGTTCACGTTCCGCTTCGCTTCGAAGGCGCATGAACGCTGGTTTGTTCCGAGCCAAGGCACGTGAACGTAGGAGAGACTGAGGAGTTGGCGGCGAATAAAGCGGTGAGTCAGGAGCACGGCCTGTGATTGTGATTGGTTCGACCTTCACTGGACCTTTAGGTCCCTTTAGGTTGGAGGCCATCGCTAGGTTGGAGGTACTACCAGACATCTCCCTGATTTCTTCTAAGCACCAATAGGAATCCACAGACAAGCCAGTTGTCCTTGGTGTTTTCGTTCTTCTACTTCCCAAATATGCTTTTCATTTTGCCATCTCTTGGCCATGTCGACTTTTTTTGTGCCATTCTCTCCAGAGTGATTCATTCATATTCAAGGGCCCCCCTCCAGGAAAACGAACACCAATTGGCCCAAACCAGGCCCATCGACTCTGGCCGTGGGGCCAGCGACTCGGCCGACGGAGGAGTTCTTCCGCTTGGGTGACGATGAGAAGGATGACAAGCTTTGGCAAATCCTCAGCGGCCTGAGCGATGATGCCAAGGCGATTTGCTTTGCAAATACCAAGAGGCAGGAGCTTTTGAATCCCTTTTGATGTGTCTTTTTGTTTGATCTTCTTTCTGAGGGTCTTTCGAAGCTTGCAGCTCTTGCAAATATGAAGGAAAGAAATGGTCCATCCATGTCCATCTTGCATCGATGTGGACATGGATGCGCATCCATGTGCATTCTCCACATCTCGAATGGGCACCTGCCAAGCTCGAATCGATCATTTTTTTCGATCAGTTGACCCCGGTTTTTCTGCCTTGGCCGCCGACCAGGCAGTTCCCAGTTCCCACCCATTGGTCCAACCCATTTGGACCTTGCGGGTAACGTCCCCACGCTGGTGAGGCGCATTGATTCCTTCCAGAAGACCTTTTGGTCCAAAGGCTTTGACTCTGTGGCCCTACATGGCGACAAGCCACAGAAGCTGAGTCGGTGAGTCGGTTTAGTCGTGAACGGGGAAAACAGCCTAAGGGAAGTCTCCAAGCGGTTAGTCGGTGTTTTGGTACGTACAAAGTCCATGATGTCTCAGGAACTACACTGACTTCTTGGATTTTCTTGGACTTCTTGGAGTCCTGGATGGCGGGACAAAAATAAACATGCAGCCAGAAGAAGCCAGAAGAGAGGAACCTCTCAGGTCATGTTCGGCTTCTGTTTGAGTTCAATATGATCCGTCCAAAATAACAAACGGATTATAGACAGATAGACAGATAGATAGATTGATTGATTGGTTGATAGACAGATAGATAGATAGAGATAGATAGATAGATAGATAGATAGAGAAAAAAAGGTTTCCGTGGACTCTGGGGTTTGAACGATTGGAGGACTGTCCAGCAACATGTGCGTGCTGGTTCCAGTCCTTCGGACCGAAGCGTTCGTGTGGTGACGTTGAAGTGACGTTAATCCGTCCTGTTCCCATCAGATCCTGTCTGTTGAAACATACGGTCCGAAAGATGGTAGTTATAGAAGTGAAACGACCAGTTTAAACACACCATGGTGTTTCAGAAGCCCAATCCGTTTGAGGCTGCTTGCAGCAACCAAGTCCGAACGGACAGGGCCCCCCGTCACCTCTCCAGCGGAGTTTCGGGTCCAACCCCTGCTCACCGATTTGGACGCCTTCGAGAAGCTGACTGGTCATGGTTTTCGCTCCAAAAACCGTGACGAGTCAGCGTTCGATTTGGCTTGTACACTTGTACACTTGTAACGGTGTTTTCCTTGCAAAGGGGAGAGATTCAGTATCATTCAATGATCCAGGTAGGTGTCAAAGCCCAACTTTGATGACGACTGGTTTTTTTTTGTTAACTTCTGAGGAAGGATCGGGATCGAGATTTGGAGAAGTTTACGAAAGGCGAATGCTGGCTGATGTTTGCCACTGACGATCCTTGACTGATGATGGTCAAGGTTTGGATCATGAGTCGCTGATTATGCCAGTTACACTGTATATGATTGATATATATATATATATTATAATACATATCAGGAAGTGATTTGGTGCCGTCTCCCAGCCCCTAAACCACTACCTTCAGCAGTTCTAACTTTGTGATTCTATTCTCTTGTTAAGACTTGCTTTTGCTATTGCTTTAACTTTAAGTTTCCCTTTTTGCTCAAGAAGCAGCCTTTCTTTTTTATTACTGTTTTCGTTAGTCGAAACAAGACCAGCAGGAAAGTTCTTGTGCGTCAAGCATTTGACCTCTTAGAAGAACTGTGTGACTATCTCATGTCATGATCCATGTCCCGGCTAAGCTCCAGACCCGTCCAATCAACCGACTCCAGACCGTTCGGAAGTTTGGAAGACGCGAAACGGCGGAGAATCCGATGTTTCTTTAAGGTGTCTTTGAAGAACCAAGTTGACACCCCGGAATCGGCTCGCGACCCGGGTCGCTCGCGCGGTCGCACGAGCGAGGTGTGTTCCAGAGGCTTGGACATCAAAGATGTGACCCATGTGGTGAATTTGGACATGGCACCTCTGCCGATAGTGGACCGAGGAAGCAAGACCCGGTGGAGGAGCTTGAGTCCGAAATCAGCAAGTGATGAACTAATGAGCCACTAAGTAATTCAATGTAAATCATAATTACCTTGATTCCATTCCCTTCTTTGGGGTATGAGTGTGATGAGCAAATACAAGGCATTTCAGTGCCAGCCAGATGAAGAAGCAATAAGCACATTAAACATTTGAGTCTTGAGGCATAGTGTTGCAATTCTCCTTCGTAGACAAAGGCGGTTCCTGTCCTTTTTTTTTCCGAACCTCACCGCTACGGCAGGAATTTGGTGGGTGTTGAGTCGAAAACCGACTCTGTCGGAATTCGACGATTGTTCCCCGACCGCCGACCGACCGACAGTCGAGGCGCGAGATGTCGAAAGCTATGTGCGGCGGCCCGGGGCGTTTCGATGCGGATTCGCGTTTCGAGCTGGGCGGATCAGCACACGCCCGGTTCAGCTGAACGGGGTGTCTGGGTGATGGATGGTGAATGATGGTGATATATATGGTGATGGGAGAATTTGAAGACATGATTCACCATCATTTGCCCATTCAGGAGTCGCCCTTGTGTCTTGTGCATGTTTTGTGAGCAAGACAGCCGGCAAGCTCATACATGACTCATGATATTTCATGACGCATGGCAAATGCAAACTTTTGAGTGTCTCAGCCTTGCGAAGACACCTGTGGCATTCTGTGAGGGCACTCCCAGCCATTTGAGCCCTGCCTTGCCCCGCTGCTACGGTTCAAGCCTTTGGCGGGCTCTGCGCGTGTGTTGATGTCGACGATGACCAACTCGAGATACTGGGGAGATGTCAGTCACGGTAACATGGTGGAGATCCACTTAGATCCGGTCCCTTGGATGCATTTTTCAACAAGAGAGTTCAAATGACAGAGGATGTGGTATGCCAGTCAGGGGCTGAGCTCTCAGCTTTTTGGGAGCTTTCCCTACTGGTACTGAAAGCTGCAACGGTGAACAAGATGAACCTCTGTGTTGCAGGAGAACTGAAGGGCTCACTCAACGTGCACCAAAAGCGGCTAGTACCTTCCTTATAGGTGATGCCCTGAAAAGCATAGGAGCTGTTCGACGCTTGGGACAAACATTTTTGCACTACAAGGGATGACCAGGTGACCTAAAGTCCAAACAGTGATTTTGTTTTTGGAGCCCAAGAGGAAGAGAGTTTATGGTAAGATTCCAGAACAGATGCGTATCTGAAAGCCCTCCAGAGACTGCATGACATGTGCACTTTGAGGGTTGCAAAGTCAAAGGAGCTGAGGGCTTCACTGAAGGCAGCTCTCCTTTCAGCTCCATGACCTTCTTGCTACTAGTAGTTATGGCCAGCTCCGGACGGCAGTGTTCTCCGCCGGACCTCAACCGCGAGTTCCGCTCGGCAGTGTTCCCCGCCGGACCTCAACCGCGAGCTTCGGCTGACAGTGTTCCCCGCTGGACCTCAACCGCGAGTCAGAAGATATGCCAGATAGAACGCCGGAAATAATGTCAGAAAGAATATCAGAAGATACGCGCATGATGTGCCAGAAAGAATGTCAGAAGATATGCCAGAAAGAGTGTCAGAAGATATGCCAGAGAGAGTGTCAGAAGATACGCCAACATGAATGTCAGGAGATATGCCAGAAATAGTGTTAAAAATAATGTCAGAAGATAGGCCAGAAATAATATCAGAGGAATGTCAAAAGATATGCCAGAAAGAGTTTCAGAAGATTTGCCAGATAGAATGTCAGAAGATATGCCAGAAATAATGTCAGAAGATGTGCCGGAAATAATGTCAGAAAGAATGTCAAATGAAAGAATGTCAGAAGTTATGCCAGAATGAATGTCAAAAGGTATGCCAGAAAGAATGCAACAAATACTGTTTCAATACATGCCAGACAAGTTGTCAGATTGAAATGTCATGGGGGGGAGCACTCGAAGTAAGTAACGTTTTTTTTTCAGGGATCGGCACGTGCCTGATTGGTGTCTGCGCTTGGTTCCTCGTCCACCCAGGAACTCCATGCATCCTTTTGCCGCCGTGGCCGTCGACGTCTGAAAGAAACTCGGCGCCAGAAGAGTGAACTTGAGAGGCCTAAAGTAGGTCGAGTGCACCAGGGCCTTCATTGTGTTGTGCGCGAGGTCGAATTTTCCACTTGGACCGGTGTAGAAATAATGACATATGCATATCCCAGTGGATCCAGTTACTATAGTAGTAGGTAACCAGTGGTTCCAAAGACTTAAACTGTAGACCTAGAATCTAGAAACCTTGGTTCCTTATATAGTGGTTTGGGATCGATTAGGTGTGAACTTTTGGACCAACCTGACAACACGTTCGTCTCCCGTCCGACCTGGTGGCTAAGCCGAGCTGCAATGATTCACCTCATCGACCCAGGAGATACAACTGAGCAGCCGCGCGCACTTGAAATTCGACCGTCAGCAAGGCCCGATTCGTGAAGAGCGAGCGTCGTGCGTGGTCTTCAGAAGATGTGTGAAAGGCGATGTGATCTGTTGATGGTTGTTGTGAGGTTTCGATAGTGGCTTTCCTGGACAGTCATGCCACATCATGCCACTTGCAAGTGGCGGTAGGCAGTCATTGGTTTCTCCACCAGTCCACCATCGCCTTGTCTGGACTTTGCACTTGGTCACTTGATGTTTCCCTGTTGGGCAGGAACTCGTGGGTGTTTATCCAGGTCCCCGACATCGCAGATTTCTTGTCTACGCCAACCTTCGAACGTCAATTCAAAAGCAATCTTCTGGGCAGTCTGGTGGGTCAAAATTTGGAGGTGTAAACTTTGAGAGGTTGATCATGTCATATCATGTCTGGTAGACCCTTCTCTTCATGTCTGGTAGGTCAATCGGTCGGTCTCCCGAGTTTGGGTCCGCCATTGTGGACCGCGACTCTGTTTTCGTGCCAGGCGTGCTGAGGGTGTGCGGCTCAGAGGCACAAGTGGCTGATGTGCAAAGGCAGTTGGAATGCTTGGGCGGCCCGCGGAAGCAGATTCCCACTGCAGCCTCTCTGCTGGGAGTGGTGGGGATGGAGCCAGGGGGGGTGGTTGAAATGCTGCAAGGGTTTCTTTAGGACTTTAGGAAGCTTGTGTTTTTGGTTTCTGAGAAGTTGGGCATGAAGAGATCTTGAAGAATGCACATCCAAAAACGAGCTCCCCCACCACCGTGGTGCTGTTCACCTCACAAACGGTATACCCCAACTTGACGGAGCAGGCGACCCAGAAGCCCTCCGCCCTCGCCCTCCTAGGCCTGGACCGAGCTCATGCGCACGCGCATGTCGGAGGATGCCAGCAGCCGCTCGGAACGTCACACCCGCTCGCATTGAGCGAAGAGCAGTGCTGCTGTGGCAGCTTAGGTGGAGGCCAAGGGTGAATGTGAAAGTATTCTGAGTCTATGTGGTGTGCACGAACAATGTGTCCTTCATCAGCTTATGTTAGCTTTTCCTTAACATGTTTTGTGCGTCCCAGGCTCTGTGGTGCAGCGTATCCAGCAGCTCAGCAATTGCCGGGTGCACATTGAACGCACTAGCAAGGAGGCTGGATGGAGGGAGAGCCTTTTTGTTGTATGGCGTATGGTAAGCCGCTTCGCGAGCATTGGCTTTGCAAGCGGGTACCCAGTCGCAACCCTCACAGAGAGAACCTGCTGTACCGTGCTTTTCGGCTGAGAACCTGGGCAGTGCGGGACACACGTCCCATTCTTACCGTTGAACTAAGTGGTAACATGTTCGACCTTGACCCGCGGCAAACGGTAAACATGACATAAACCCTGGAAGTCCAAGGACTATTACTTTTCCATAGTGAAGTAAAGGACAGTCCCTTTCAGGCACCCTAGTCAGACCATTCTTTTTGTAGTCTTTGACTCCCACGGTCAATGTTTACCGTTTTTACCACGGATTTCGGTTTAAACACCTCTTCGGTTTTAAGCGTGTCCCAGGATGGCGGAACCACTTACTGTTCAGCATTCAACGGACAGGCATCTCCCGTCGGATCGATCTCCGACCGACTGCAGTCGGTGTCCCATTCACTCCAAAAGGATGGACCTCCCTCCCTCCTCTCCCTCCTAAGAAGCAAATCATGTCCCTAGTAGCGTCCTTGCTCCGTTCGTAGCGATGCCCGGAGCTTCCCTAGTCGCGATGCCCGAAGAGCGCGCCCTACTAACGCGTCACGTAGCTCCTCCTGGACGCTACGTTCGTAGCGAGAAAGACACCACCAAGTAGGTTCGCTAGGTTCCAAGTTCCAGTTCCCTCGCATTTCAGGTCCGGCTCTTTGGTCCGAAAGCTGCCGTGGCGGCGGCCTCGCAGCTGTTGGACGCGCCCCACCTGGTGGGTTGGAGGGGTTCCGAAAGAGGGCGAACTGGAGCAGGTTGGGGGGAGCGAAAGAGGCCAGGTTTGGGAGGTAGGTGGGAGGTCATGCGGGAGATTCCGATGATGATGTTGAGTATCTTCTGCCAGGTGTTTAATTCAGTTCCAGGACTATAGTAACACTTTATAATACTTCATGTACGGTTACAGTCTACAAATAATATGATAAATATAGACACCCTTCAGCTCAATCCTTCTATATATATATATACACATTACCACATATACCTTCACGTCTCAGCTTGGCTGCTTGGCTAGCATCTGCAAGATGGATACACTGCGACCCGACCTTCCATGCGCTGTGACCCGACACTTGCGATGTCCAGACTTGGGGATCTAGTGATGTAGTGCTACAAGTAGTGAGCCTGGACAGAGTCGGACACGGCCTGAAACGCGAGGAATGTCGCCCGCCGTGGGCCCCGGTGCCGAGGAGTTTCAACAGATGTGCTTGGAGACCCGAGTGGAGTTTGATGAGAATCACCTCACAGGAGCTGGGGACTGGTGAAGCGGCACTGGTTAATCAGGTTAGACGCGAGGCTGAACCAAAATCCTTTGTGGTGGGACTTGGCGGGCAAGTACAACTGGTACAACTGTGATAAAGAAGAACATGAACATGAAATCATATCAAGAACAAACAGGTAACCGGCAAACTTTTGAACTGTTGGATACTTACCCGTGAATTGAGGTGTTCTGAATCCAATAAATCGCTTCAGGGCACCAACTGTCACCTGGAGGTACCACAACGTAAGCGCGAGAACCAGAGGGCAGGATCTCACTGGTTGGCAGAAGGACGCTTTCGCATAGATGTTGGATGGATTGACATCGTGTCGCACCACTGCAGCCCTTGATTTGAACAGTGGAATCTTAGAACATTTGACTCACCTTGGTTGCTGCCTTGCCTTCAGGCGAAAAGATTCAGATGATTGCTCCTTGCTCATGACGTTGGTAAAGAGCCTTTTCGGGGAAGGACTGCAAGGACAAACAGACACATTGTGCAACTTGACATCTTCTGAACCTCTAAATCCGAGGTCCGAG